TACAAACTTTTTAGAATTTCTTTCTACAATTGCTAGACCTTGCTTACTTCCATTTTTATTAACTTTTCTTCTTACTCAGGAGGAGGCAGAAAACAATTTGCTAGTGTAAAGTGCTGCTTCAAAAACCACTTATATAATATTCAAGAGAAAGGTTTCGTACCTTAAAAATCCAATTCACACCTTTTTATCTTACTGATAAACATACAAGAATAATTTCATTAAATTAGGATATTTTCACTAAATTGAAATATGAGCTATGTGATACTTGAGTTTTAAAAAAAAAATCACATGCCAGTATTTGGGATTACTTTGTGGCACATAAATGCATGTTATAACCAGAGAAGATTGAAAAGCTCTCTCACGCTTCTGGTAGTCATAGGTTCTTAGGCATACAAATACAGAGCAATGTAGTACTCGGCACTAGCAATATGCCATCTCTGACTCTTTTTGCCTTATGTTAATGGCAACAACAGTAGGCAAAAAAGACACATATGAAGAAAGAGAGACACATATGAAGATCTCAACATCGAGTTGGAAAGTCAAGTTTGTGCAGGTCAGATTTCAGATTTTTAAACAAAATGTCATTAAAAGTTTGTTCCGATAGATGAGAAAAAGTACAAACCAACCAGCCAGGCTACTTGAATCACTGAATCATATGAGAATGCTTATGTTTGCATGCAAAGTGAACAGAAAAAAGGAATAATTGCTTTCTGAAATCCTAAATAGAATTCATTTTAATGAAAGCCATATTGTAAGAGATCATTTCATATTTTATTAAAGTTATCATCTTCTCCTTCAAAAGCTGTATTTAGCATAAGGAATCCAAGTAGAAAACCTACCTGCAGCATTGTTGAAAAATGTCGTATGGCTTCATCATACAGGCCGTTGCCAATCAACACATAAGCAATTGCTAACAAAAGATTACAAACACAAGTGCATTAGAGGAAAACATCTGTTTTTTATGTATTTTAAAATTCTGTTGTATTAAATGAAAGTCCTTACATTGCTCTGAAGTGTTAAAATCAAACACCTCTAAACTTCCACTGAAATTACTATCTACAGCCACCACACGGCATTCACAAATTATTAATTCATACATAATGTTTTCAGGTTTTGTATTTTTCCCTCCTTTCTTCTTGAATTCTTTTTCAGGTTTTGCTTTATTTTTTCCTCTCCTTTTTATTTCCCCTTTTTTGCAAGTTGTTCAGAAAAGGGTCTGTGTTCGCTTCTGAGGTAATTAGGACAAGAAAAGGTACCTTAATCCATTTTGTTTGCCCTAGATGCTTTCTCAGTTATAAGGGAGACCTATAGCTTTTTGACACTTCCTATCCGATTTTACTTGTCTGGATACGTTTTGCTAAACTCCACTAGCTCACAATACCTTTTCCTTCACTTGAATTATCTCCAAAAAAACACAACTAAAGTGAGACAGCTGCTTATAAGAACTGTGCTAAAAAAACTACAGCTTTACTCCCGTTAAAATGCAAAAGCTTTACTTTGAACAGCTCTAGTGTCCCCACTTCAGAATGACGATTACGTATTTAGAAGGGAAATAGCTCATTGTTTCAGAAACTTGCTTTCGTAATCTCCGCAGTTTCTACAAAACTATAGTCAAGACACCAGACTTAGAAAAGTTGTTGTACTCATATGACTGAAGTTACCGTTTTTGGAAACTGAATTTCTCAAGATTCTTCAGGGTTTTTTTGCTTTGAACTAAGCTGTGCGCACCCTGCCCACAGAAAGCAAGGATGTTGTAGACCAGAGCTTTGAAAGGTAAACTTTTCTACAGACATTTTGCAAAAATGGCCAACAGTGGAACTAAAAGCTGCAAATTTACCTTTCCCAAACTTCTGATGAATTTTAGTGGTCAGCCGCACAGTATAGAAGAACTATTGGCTCACCTATTTACTCAAATATGAGGAGAGATATATGAGTCAATTAGAATAAAGGGTTTTTTAAAATATTTTTAATAGACATTTTTTCTGGTAGACAAACAAATTCTTTTGTCAGTTTTGCCAAGCAGTATTCATTGCAAGAGAAAAAATTATACGAAAGAAGTGAGAAATCTGTATTTCTTAAACCGCATATCCAGAAGCTTAACTCATTCTTGGAACATTTCTATTAAGGAAGGAAGTGTTTATGTGCAATAAAATCATTTTCTTCAATATGGAGAAAGCTTCACTTGCTGCAAGCATATAGCATCGTCACAAACAAAAAGATAATTGAAAGAGTCAAAGACAGGTAAAAGGTTCTTGGATTTTTTTTCATTTCATTGCCATTATATAAAAGGCATTTTGCACTCTTTCTTGAAATACACCCTCCCCATCTCTTTGCTGCCTCATTATCCTCTACTTCCTACAGAACGTATCAGTTTGGAGAAGCAGTGCAAGTAATGCTTCCTCAAAGTGTTTGAGGAAAGTATTTCTCAGTGCCTTTATCTGAAAAGGCAATCATCTTCTCCTCGGAGTGTCCTTTCAAAACAAAAAATAAAAACATAACAAACAGACAAGCAGTAGACTCTATAAGGATAGCAATCCAGAAAGTCTTCCTGCTGTCTGTAAGATTTGATGTTACAATTGCATGAGGAATGCAAATAGATTCAAGATCTGTGCTTGAAAGAAAGCATATTCCCTTAGCATGATTTTCTGAATCTTGGATGGTTTTAAGTCATTAATAATGAGAAAAAAAGAAACAAAAAGCAGGAAGTAGCTGAGACTGTTTAATGAAAATGCTTTCTGAACACTTACACTCGCATAAGCAAGTATAGTTAAGAGTCCTATTGAACAAAGCAGAAAGGATTACCAGGAAGAAATAAATATTCTCTTAAGTAAAGAAATTTCACTAGATTTTTTTTGGTACCACTTTTAAATCAGTGCATCACTAATTAGCACGTAAGCACCTACACAAACTTTATATAAGGCATCTTACCCAGCTCTTCGTTTGTGTTGTCATTATCAGTAGCAAATGGAAACCTTTTTTGTTCTGCAAGTGACTTTGCTTGGCTCTGTAAAACATTATTCATTGTAACATTCAGCATACAATAGTAAAGAATTTAACTGAAAACCCCCTCTTAAATACCTAAGAGAATTCGTTATATCAGAAAGTAAAGACTAATGTGATTGCTCTAAACTGACTGAAAATAAACTGATTCCTGGTCTCCCCTGAGGAGAAAAGTTGATTTTCAGTCAGATGCTGCTGCTCTTCTCTCTAAGGTATGGCTAAATAAACATTTCAGGTTAAAAAAAAAAAAAAAAAAGGCAATAGCTTTTGTTGAATTAAACACCATTGTGAGCATTTTATTAGTGGTTGCTATTTCTATATTTCTATATTACACCTGGAATAAAACACTGAAAAGAAAACAGCTTCAGCAATAAAGACAATTTTGACCAACAGTGTCACATTATGTAAGAAAGGCTGTCCTTTTTCTAGCAAGAACTTTGTAAGCTACAGATGAGACAAAAAATAGATGAGGTGAAAAACAGATTGACTGCAACTGGTTGAACAAAGCATAAGACTTCTCTCCCTTTATAATGCATCTATAAAAAGTATTATTGACACAGAAATCCTAAGTCCTCTACTCTGTTCATTTTCAGAAATGTTTCCCATAGGTAACTGTGAGCCTACCAGAGCAGTTTATATAAAAATACACAAAATAGTCTTTTGATTAACAGGCCTGAAAAATGTTTTAAGATGCAAGAATAAAGGAACAAATACCCTCTCTCACTGCTCAGTTCCTTATTTTGCTTCAGGTACATGGCAAATCTGAACATCTTTAACCTCAGAGAATACCACCTTTTTCTCTACTGAAAAAACTCCTAACTCCTCCTCCACTTTGTCCTCCTTGCTTCTGCATTTTTTTGTGGTTTCTTAAGAGTACAGGAAGACCCAATATTTGCATCTATAACAGAGAGGTATAAATGATCTACAGTCCAAAAAGCAACTGGCCAATTCCCATTGTATATTTTCTGCCCTATTTATCCAATAGTCTCAGGAACAAGAAGAAAGTTTGGTCTGTTTTAACAACTATAGTCTTAAAAATTACTTTTGAGAGTGTGAAAAGATTAGCAAAGAAATTGTATTTGGCATTACCCTGCAAAATAATACATAATATATTCCCAGCCCTGTTCCTATTGAAAGTAGAGGTCTCTACATTTTATTATAATACATTTTATATAATATGTTTTGCATTATTACTTCACCTAGTGCTTCATCTTTGGTAACAGATAGGACTTTTTTTTATTATTATTAACCACAGAAAGAAGCAATTAACATTCTATTAAATATTTTATTTGGAAAATAAAGTACAGCCAGAAAAATCCGTCATTACAATGATGTCCTAGTTGCTGATAACACTCAGAAGTGATACTGTAATAAGATAGCATCAAATTCATATTCTGATGGAGACTGAAAATTTTATATATGTGTGTGTGTATGTGTGTATATATATATATTTGTTCAAAATCAGTAGACTAATAGTATTGTTCCAAGAAAACCCAGAACCCAAATACTGTAATAAATCTCTTGAAATCTCTCCACCAGGAAACAACTTACTTTCATTAGGATATCCTCTACATACTGTATTTTATTAAATATAATATCGATATGGCATAAAATCTCTATTAACTGTTATTCTTGTATTCTTGGTTATTCTTGTACTGATTTCAAGTTACCACTACTACTCTCGTAAATATTTTGTGGTGGCTGAATGATTAATCTCTGTAAAAACTAAGATACCTTTGCCCTTCTCAATCTTAACCCCTGTCTTCCCACCCCATATTAACTGGAACCTGACTAATCCAGGTACAAGTTAGGCTTTAGCAGAAACTAAACTGATGACAGCCCTAGAGATTCATGCTGCAGTACGATGAAATCATTCCTTCACGGCGCTTACGTCTTTTGTCAGTCTATGGCTACTGATGAACAGATTCTATTTGCAGTTACATGCTTATAATTAATTCCAACTGGCTATGCAGTTAAAGAGATCTGGCACTAACAATAATCTATTTTTCATATATCATGTTCTTTATAGCATACCAGAATTTTTTCAGTGTTGAGAGAAAGCACAGATTCACAAGATGAAGACCCTCTTATGTCACAGTCAGATTCATGGAAATGCAAAAAGGATGAGTCTGGGGAAAAACAAATAATATATCTTTAGGAGTTCAAGGAGTTACATATACATACTGTTATCACATCTCACATTTTCTCATTTTCCTCTTCAAGAGGAGAGAATTTGGAAGCCAGAAAAGCTTTGGTTAGACATGTTCCAGTTTGACACTATGTTCCTATATTATGGCCCAATTAATTTAAGATAAAATTGCCATTCAAGTCCCACAGAAGAGAATAAATGGAAGTGAACACATGGAGCAGAAAAAAGCTGTTCACAGAAGCCCAGGAAACAGAAATACAAAGACAATAAAAAGTAGAGGGAATGGAAGTCATAATTGGCTAAGCCTGTATAAAGGTCCTCACAGATATATTACTAAGGAGGCTATTACAGAAACTCTAAATAAAAGCCAGGAATCAGACACAGCCAAACACAGCTGATTAAAGGGAAAAATACTGTTAAGGAACCCCTTTTCCCAGATTTCCTGACCATGGAAGTCAATGTCACCAATCCACTCTTTCACTAACTTGAAATATTGCAAAAGGCAGCCAAAAAAAAAAAAAACAGCATCATCTCATGAACTCGACAACAGAAATAGATATGTACAAAGTATTAGTGGAAATGATAAATTTCAAGCTTAAGACTTAGTTTGACAGGTTGGAGTGAGGGGTGTCTAATTTGCTTTTATAAGCTGTGCTATTTTCTATTTTGATTATAGTCAGTTAACTGCTCATTTCTCACAAGTACGACGTTAGTAGTGAAAAAGAAACAGTCTTCTTATGAAGAGAAGTCAAAATAGCACCTAAAATAATTGCCTGTAAATAGATGCATGGAACTCAAGCCTTAAATAACAACTGTTGGGAGAAGTTTTACAACAGAAGTAACATTAGTGAAAAGCAGAAGGTCAAAGTTTACAATTAGAAAGTCCTGCAAAAACAGCAGTTCACAACCTGTTTCAACACTGCCCTTTAATCTTCATGTTGGCCAAAGTTTTATCCTCTTGTGCCATGGCAGCAGTATTAACAGAACATTAGTTGTTCTACATTGGGGCTCATAAGACAGTGTCAGTTTGAAACCACTGCTGTCTCACATTTCAGGAACAAAAACAAGAAGGTGCATGGACTATCCCCAGGAGCATATCCAGCACAACAGCAAGAATTTACTGAGGGAGCTTTTGAATGGGTGACCAGGAACACCACAGTACGTCCATTACAAGCTACTGGGTGAAGAGGATGTGGGGTAAAAAAAAGTATTTGTGTGTGTATATATGGACATATATGTCCTTGTTCCGTCCTTGAGATCCTCAGGGCAATAAAGCTGCTTTATTTATAGGGAAGTATGGATTAGCCTATGTCTGCAGGCTAGGTACAGTCAAACACACTGCCTCACTAGCAACCTCATAAAAAAGTAGAAACAGTAACCAGAGAAACTATCCTGAATCTGCACTACAAAGAGAAACTATTTGAAACCATCGACTGTCAATTTCTGGGAAGGGAGATCTAAAAGACTTGGAATTTTTTAACTGTCAGTTTATTGAACCACAGGGATTAAATACCAAAGAGTAAACTGGAATACAGCTATTTCAGAGTAATTAAGGACTACCTTATATCACTGTACCCAAGACCAAGCAGGACCTAGTGATTTAAGCAGTATAGCTCGTATCAATCTCAATTACCCGCTTTAAAACAGCATTCAACCTGTGAGATCTTGTTTTATCAATAAAACCAAAGTCTAACCTTGCAAACACACCCTGCCAAAGGAATATCCTCAGAGGATCACCCAAGCCTTAGCAACGGAAGAAATCAAGGGCTCTGCTATTTATTAACTTCTGCATGATACAAGTTTTATCTCAAGACCAGGTGAAAGTCTTCTTGGTTTTATACATGAGCTTAAACCATCTGGGGCAGAGGTCAGCTGAGAGAGCTTTCCAGATTTGTTTCTACGTTAGTGTATTACAGCTACAGCTGTAGAAAACCGCAGTTTTCACTGGATTTATACATAACCGCACCCGAAGGAGCCGGGTCCGGAGGGCTGGACAGGCTGTGCTAGGGCCGGCAGAGGCAGCGGCGCTTCCCCCTCACCACCCCGCCGCCCT